AAAATCCGCAAGTACTTAAGCCAAGATACATGTGAAATCTTAGTCCATGCATTTATTAGTTCGAAACTTGATCACTGTAATTCCTTATTACATGGCCTTCCTAGGTATCTGTTAGCTAGACTACAGGCAGTTCAGAATGCTGCAGCTCGTGTTGTCACACTGACACCGAAGCATGTTCATATAACTCCTATTTTAATTAATCTTCATTGGTTACCAGTTGAGTTTAGAATAACTTTTAAAGTCCTTTTATTGGTATACAAGGCCCTTCATGGCCTTGCACCTTCTTATATTTCTGACCTTTTGAATTTTAAAACATTCTCTAGGTCATTGCGTTCTTCATGTAAAGAATATTTAGTGGTTCCAAGAAGCAGATTGAAAACATATGGAGACAGAGCTTTCTCTATTGCAGGACCTAAATTATGGAACGATTTACCTCTAGAGATTAGGAAATGTGCTTCAGTGGCAACTTTTAAGCAATCCCTTAAAACTTTTTTATTTAAGTTAGCATATAGGTTATGAGATTCCTTTTGTTTTAAGATGTTTTTGATTTATATAGTAGATAACTTAGGCTATATTTGAATTATATTGTATATTGTAGATATTTTATAATTTAGATTTTTTTTATATTCTTTTTTGTAATTAGGTAGCGCTTTGGACAATTATTGGATTTTAGCGCTATATATATAAAATTATTATTATTATTATTATTCATTTCCTCAAAATTAATTTCTGAGAAGCTAAATGCTATCACCTTTTGCAGAAAATGAGGATCATGCTGAAGATCTTTATCCTTTTCACTTCACTTTACATCATCAGTACTAATGGTAAGAAAAAGTCCAATTCTATGACGTTTCTCAATATGTTTTACTAATTTATGTCTAATTCTTGTCTTTTTCATATACAAAATCTGCACAGTAATTTTTAGGGAGTTATTATAACTCCAAAAATGGAGCAAAAATTTTAGGTACAGGATAACCCCTTTTTTGGGGTTATTTTAACTCCTCGATATCTAGGGTCATTTTTACTCCTGAAAAAGAGTTCTTTTTACTCCCAGTCTGGAGTTAAAATAACTCCGAAAATGGGGTTATTTTTACTCCTTACATGGGTTGATTTAATCTTTTTGGAATTACTTTAACTCTGAAAGTGGAGTAAAAATAGGTACAGGATAACTTCTTTTTTGGGGTTATTTTAACTCCTCGATATCTGGAGTCATTTTTACTCCTGAAAAAGAGTTCTTTTAACTCCTTTTTGGAGTTAAAATGACTCCCCAAAAAATAACTCCACTGTAAGGAGTTAAATTAACCCCACTAGAGGAGTTATTATAACTCCTTAAGAATTACTGTGTGATAAGCGACATTTTTGCGCATGTAGTATAGTAGGAAACTGTAAGATCCCTTTTTTACGTAAGATTCTCATCAACTTGCACACGACTATATTAACGCCGATGACGTCACGGCCCTTTGTGTGACAATAGGTTGTCTGCGATGTACAATGGAATCGGCAAGATATAGAACTTGCATGATTATGTTACGGCTCATTGAATTTTAAGTCACAGTTGAGTTAGCGCTTATTCCTTCTACAATCAACAAATGAATACTTTTGTAAGTTTTTAGTCTAACAATGAAATAGACAAATATATAACTTATGTAAATGAGATTCCACCGCATTGTATTCTCGGGATAAAGACAAGGGGCCGTGACGCTACAGGCGTTAACCCTTTCACTGCCAGGATAAAAGAAGGAGTCTCGTAAACTGGTTTTAACTTTCGAATCTGTGGACGAAATCCTGTGGTGTGACCAATCAAATGAAACCTCTCTGTCAGTACTTTCACATTGTATTATTAATCTTATTTTGCAGCATTTTACCAAAATATAATTGGAGATTTTGTTGAAATTTGACTTTGGCCACTTTTGGCAGTGAAAGGGTTAATTATTCTTGCGCAAGTTAGTAAGATTCCTGCGCAAAATATGGGGTTCAACTGGTCCTTACTATACTACTCACATGATCTTGCACAAGTTCTAAATAGGGAATACGACAATTAATCTTAATTTCTGTTCTGTTTCAGCTGATTCAACCCCTTGTAACAGAGACATTGGAATCCTTATCGACACGTCACTAAGTGTTCCTCAAAGGAAACTTGAAGTTTTATTGGAAACGTTTTTAGAGCCATTCTATGCCGAGTTCGAAATATCAGCGCAAAAAACCCAGTTTGGTTTGATAACCTTCGACAAATACAGTCGTTTGAGGTTCACGTTGGCAGTTTTGCAGTCATGATAACTTGGTCAATCTGTCAAGTATTGTTCTTAGCTGGATCGGGACGATGTTCGGTTTTTGCTCGACAAATGAAATTCACGTCCAGACAGAGAAGATAAGCAAAATGTGTTACTCGTGATCACGGATGGGAGGCCTTTTCCACCAGAAACGTTCCTTCTTTTCAACAACTCTTTACCTTTTTTAAGGGTAAGAGATGTGATTTTTGTTCTCCAAAGAAACCAACCAACCAACCAACCAACTAACCAGCCACATCACGTGAACACACTTACCTAAAAATATGTAAATAGCCCACTTGCACTAAGAGAGCACGTGACCAGTGCTTCCTTTAAACAATGAGTTGGAATCTTGCTGATGCCAAAAATTGACAGAGCACTTAAAATGTATCTTACACCCGAAATTTGAGACGATACGCACTTTAGGCAGAAATTTTATGACGGTTTGATTTTTCAACAAAATATTATGATTTGTATGGGCCGCCATGTTGGAGGTCATACTCTTGCCTTCCAACATGGCAGCCAAAACCAATTTTTGCTTATATCCTGTTAAACGTTTGATAGTTACGATCAGATGTGTTGTAAACGTTGGCACATCATCTTTTCAACATTTTCCTTGAAGTTTAAGTACAAAATTTGTGTTCAGAAAGAGGCAATTCATAATTTTACAATTTTGGTCACGTGACCAGCTACGATCTTACTCATTTTAAGAAAATGATGCAGGTTTGAAAAACCAAATCACTATTATTTTGTCTAAGATATGACCCATTAATCGTTTTTCGAAAGCAAAATCATGTAACTTTTATTTTCATAAACACAATGTCACATGACCTCTTAGGGCAAATGGCCTATTACAATATCTCTATTTAAAAAAGTTTTTAGATTTGTTAGAGGAACTAAAATGGCTAGGCACTTTTTATGACTGTCAAAAAGTGCAAAAAAAACTTCTGGTTTAGCAATGTATGTGAAATTTGTGATTAGAAGGTATACCAAAGGGATACACCCAATTGCAAAAACGTTTTCATAGAAAAATGAAAAAAAGGAAAACGCCAAATAGGAATTAATTCAGCTAATTTAGCCACGTTATCATGGTGGATTCATTTGCAGCCGTTACATTTCCCCGCTGGAATTTTCAGCTTTATTGTCTTTCAGCTTTAAAACAATAGCAAATTCCAACCGGCAATTACGACGTCAAGGTGTAGATGCTGCAAATGTATTCATTAGGCTTATTAGCCTATTTAATTCTTATTTGGCTTTTTTTTTCATTTTTCTAAGATAACGTTATTGCAATTACAGTCGACTCCCGATAACTCGAACCTTCAAGGGAAATCGAAAAAAAGGTTCGAGTTATTGGGAGTTCGAGTTACCGGGAGTTCGAAGAAAATAGCTGAGAGTAAGGTAAAGTTTTCACTGCACAGTGATGATTTTAATCTCATTTACTTGTAGAAATGTCAAGTGAAAATCAAAAGATAAATCAGAACGTAACGTAACAAAACATAGCCTAAATAGAGCATGCATAAATCGATTTTGGTTCGAGTTAGCGCGAGGTTCGAGTTAGCGAGGGTTCGAGTTATCGGGAGTCAACTGTAGGTGTATGTCAAGAGAAAAGGGGTAGATTTTAGGGCGTAGCCTGGAAGTATCAAACTGTGTTGAGTGCCTCCCCCGGCCCAGGTGAGAAGCATACCTCTTTTCTGTGATTATGTAGAGTGAATAGTTAAAATTAAAGGCACCACTTCTAATAACCAGTGTTTTTTTTTCGCAGGCCGACAACGTTAGTATTATTGCTGTCGGTTACGGAATAGAACCTCAGATTAATACAACAGTGCTTAGGGAAATAGGAGGAGACAATGTATTGATCATGATTGAAGACAAAACCTTAGGATATACACCCTTTGTCGATCCAATAAAGAAAATGGTTTGCAGTAAGTCAATATTTCCTCAAGTCAGTTGCCTTCCTTATAATTGATTTTACTTCTAGTTCACGGTTATGATTATTATAGTTATTATGATTATGATTAAGATTATTAATTTATCACCATCATCGTTATCATCATCATCATCATCACTCTATCATTATATTATATCGTCATTGTTATTATTGCAATTAGAAATTAGAGTCCTGCATGCCTTTGTTAAACTTTGTCGGTGTGATTTTCAAGTTATAATCCCTGGTAGGCGGGGTAAGGACAAGCTTTGAGTTCAGAATCAGCTTGAGGCGTCTATTCTTATTATTAATATTTCTGTTATTATTATTATTATTATTATTATCATTATTATTATTATTATTTTACTTCTTACTATAGGCGACCTGCCCCCTAGTAATCCGCCGTGGAGTCCGTGTAGTGTTACTTGTGGCTCTGGAACACAGTCACGCTATAGACCCTGCATAAATGGAATTTGTTCTGAAACTCGAGCTTGTGAACTGGACCCTTGCCTTAATGGTGAGTATGAAATTAAAATAAGCAATATATCTTCTCCGATTGCAAATAAATATTTAACAGGCAAAGTCGCTAAAAATCGAAGATGATTCCCTTAGTCACTGACACGGTGACGTATCGCACTGTCTCGTAGTTTTTTCCGGTTGTTTAATAGTAATTAAATAAACCAAAAAAGCTTTTTCAAAGGAACAAAAATTCTTACTGACAAAAACCAGGAAAAAGAACCTTTAATTCATTTCTTAAAATGGATCCAAAGTATAGTAAGGGGCCATATTGGCTATTTATCTCATTGGGATATATTATCATTTGCCCAAGACATTTCTCTGTTTCTGATTGACTTTAAATCCCACGACTACTTCTTCATAACCCGCTAGCGCTGAACAAATTTGGCAGATGCTTAGAATATAGCATCATTGACGTAAGTCTCTCTGACTTCAGTAAATGAGTATGCGATATAGCATTGACGTCGCAAAAGACAGCGTAGCGGAAGCTTAGCTCTCGTGAGTATAGAACGGACATGCAAAGAAATAGTAGCAGAATTACTTGCTAGCTCACGATAAACCGCTTTTTGAGGAATATCTGCAGGAATGTAAAAACTTTCGTCCACATTTGAACGTACCACGGAACAAGCACAAATTTTGAAGAAACTCTAACTAGAGGTGATGAAAAGTTCAGGTGCAAGACCACTGCAAAAAACTGTGTACGATCAAACTTACTCTCAACGTTGGATCAAAAAAGATCTCGATCAGTCAAATTTAATAAATTATTGTCAAAGACACAACTGCAAGGAATGATCAAACAACGTGAAAAGACTAGAGTTACGATATTAAGACTGGCGAATACCAGTCTTCATCAAGTTTGTTACGAAGATCACGAAATTACAGAAATATCTCTCAAGATATGCAATACTACAATGGGAGACGATGGAGGTAATGATGTTAATGCATGGATCAATTTTACCTGCTACCACTAACCCTTCTCCCCTCCCACCCCTCCGACATATCCTGGGACATTTCCAGCCCTTTAGGGCTGGGGCAAGGGAATTCTTTTGAGGCGGCCCTGGCCGAGGGTAGCGGGTAGAGTATGGGGTAGAGTAGGTGGTAAATAACTACTCTTTGTTCTTGTGAAGTTCGTAATTTCTTTGTTGACATGGTGGCGCAAGACCGCTTGGAGAAGGCTTTCAAGACTGTTCAAACATAGATAAATGATAAATGATAAATTTTTTCTATTTGTAAATGTGCCCCTTGCTTGCACTACTTCCAAGGAACTTCCAAGGTAATTTTTGCTTATGCAATCGACTTAAGTACAATCTTTTATTCAAAAATTACTGTAATTCATGACACTTCTAAACAGATTAAACAGCGCTTGCATATAGGTAAAATCTTTGCTCTTTGGCACTTAGCAGTAGCTATAACTAGCAAATATTTCGAATATACTTATATAAATGTCAAATGGATGTGCGTATGATGCCTACTCGAAAATAAATTCGCTCTGTCTGCTGTTCGTGGAGGGTCTGAATGAAGGGATCTACATGTCGCGTGGTCGGTGGAAACGTTCGAAAATGACCGAATTTATACTAGGGACGAATTATCCGTCTGAGACAAATTAATCGTATAGATAATGACAAATTCCGCTTTCAGACGAATTTTTAATCGCCCCAAATTCGTCTCCACGTCTGATAGACGTGCTGACAGACGAGAGGAAATGGGGCTTCGTTCGCAGAGCTCTGCTATTTTTGTATTGGATCATACAAAGTATAAGAGCCATACAAGCTCATGCAATTCCTGACAAAAGGATGGGACTGTGAGACAATATACAATGTTTACTACTAAACAGCCTGATTGTGAATTTTTAATTGTTAAAGATTATTGATATTATTAATAATTATTATTAATTTATATTTAAAAATTTATAAAAAATTATTCAACTTCCAGTCATGCATAATGTATAGTATATGTGAAATAAATTTTATGAACATTGTAAGAACCTTTTCAGGCTGATTCCTCACTAAGCCGGTGAATAAGAACTTGAACAGCCTGAACCTCGAAATCACAGGCTCTTATATGCGTGTGAATACTGTACTTCAAGCTATAGGCGAATCTTTGCTGACGTCGTTGTTTACATTTTTCCTCCCTTGCATACGACTTAACTCAAAGAAGCCGTGGCCGTATATATGAACTAAATGCAAAAGTTGAAAGAGTTGATTAAGTTGAGCAGTTTGTGCAATTTTCAGCTCTTCGCAAGCAATATTGAAGGAAATATCAACCATCAAAAACTGCGATAAAGCCATACATTCTCTGTTAGATATCGAGTTTTTAGAAGAGAATTTCTCCGAAACCATTCGGTGTATTGGGCTCAAATTTTCAAAGATAACTAAAACTGTTATTCCCTTTCAATATTCAGAGTTTATATTTTATCGTCATCAGACAGTGATAAGCACATGTTGATGAGACAAAAAGTGTAAACAAAGATTAGCCTATACAGACGTGAAATAAGGAGTTTTTACCTTTTTAAAAGCTTGTGGGACTTACTACGAGAAGGTTGGATGCTTTATGGATAAATACAAACGACCATTTCCAAAGTTGCTCCTGGACAGAAAAGGCGACCTTGACTGGGGAAACTTGAAAGCGTTTAATCTTAACAAGTAAGTTTCTCCGTTTAGGGCCATGTCGAGTCATTTCCATTGTCTATATTCTCCCAGACATGCAATCCGTTGGGAAACGCCCAGACGTAAGTTGTTTAGAACCCAAACATACACATTTCAGTAGCGGGTTGAACCAGATTAGATCAACAGAAAACATTTAATACTCACTCCCCGACTAACACGGTCTTAGTCCATAATAATCTACATATTCTGGCATACACTCCAAATGGAAAACCATGACTGTATTTACCTATAAAGGTATCCCTTAGGTTTTGTATGTACGTGACGAAATATGGTAGGGTCTCCCTAGCGGGTAGGGGTCAAAGAAAGACTGAACAACGTCCAAATCAGGGCGGATAAAGGTTGGGCGGTGAAACGAGCGCGTCCGAGCAAAAAGGTGTGATGCAGTGAACTGGGACTCTGCTTAGAAATGTCGCTTGTTTTCGACTTCGGTCAGGGCTTGCGATGTGGTTTGTACATTAGACGTGATTAGACATTGTCGCTGTCACCGAATTGTGGCAGCTTGATTTGTTTTCTTGCACTTCTTCCTCGTTCCTTTGTGCCGGTACGCTGTCTCCGAGAGGCAAATGTTGCTATTTTTTGCGGGAGGTTTAGTTGGAGTAAACAAACATCTCTTTCAAAGGGTTTCTTTTATTACTTCTATGACTCTACCACTGAATCTTATTTTCGTTCTGCTACTCGCCAATGTCGATGTTATTCCAAAACAAAAACAACTAAGTACTGTCTAAAACACGAAGAAAAATCTCATCCATGTCATCCATGGCAAAACTAAAAGACAGCAGATCGTGTTTCATAACTAGATGACGTGTATTTTATAAATGCGTGCAGCTCGTGCAAGATGAAATTATGCTAATTTCAAGCACCATCATCCTTCTTTTTAATTTTGAAAAAAAACATCTCATACGTCTTTCTATTTCTTCGAAACTTCAAAAATTAGTTTCCCCTCAGTTTTTATCGTTTACCTTGTTTTGTTTTAGAGAGAAAAACGGAGAAAAAACCTTACAACTAACCTCAGTAAATTTTGTTTACATGCAGTTGCCGGATTTGCAACCCATTGCGCGAATTGCCATGGCGCGTTGCACCCGAGAAGCAAAGTTTGAAGAAGTACAACGCCACTATATCAATATATATCAATCTAATTTTTTGTTACGTTATATAAAATTTATCCCCCTTTAACATATGTAAAAATTGAGGTTAAGAAGTGTTAAGCTTTTGCAAACGAGACGGCGAAAGACAATTAGGTGATATTTAGTGGAAGGAGGAGGTATTCAACACTTTCAAATTAAACTCAAATTTCGGCATTTTACGACCAACAAGTTTGACTTATAGACGTACAGACACAAACATATAAAACTGTTTATTGATATTGTTATGAAACAAATTTATTTATTTAACACTGTAGCCTGAAATTACAGAAAGAAAATAGGATTTCCGGTTTGCAAAAAGGAAAATTTCGCCGGCCTTAAAGCGCACCGGAAGCGCGGAAAGAGCGCTCGTGCCAGTCCTACTCCGCATCACACATTAAATGAAGAGCGGAGCGCTCGTTTCACCGCCCAACCTTTATCCGCCCTGGTCCAAATAGATCTTATGCGCGATACCCGCCGTCTTTGCACGCGCTTTATAAGGACTGATGGGATAAAAATAATGTCACGTGGTTTCTCAGGAGGCAAACAAGTGATACAATTTGCCAATGCAAGAAATCGCGGTCGAGTTTGTTTATTTTAGCGAACAGAAAATGAAGAACTTTTTATCTTAAGGCAAATTATCGGTGGAAATGATCATTGTTACTTTTTCCTTTAGCGACCGTAGATGTCCTCACAGCAAGTTATGATAACGTATTAAAAACTTGTCGAACTTCGAAATTTTCTTTTTTTCATGACTATTAAATCATCGTCTCGCTTGGAGAGAATAAACAAACTCGAGCGCGATAACTCGTATTAGCAAATTTTGTCACTTGTTTGCCCCCTGGAATACCACGTGACATTGCTTTACTCCCATCAACCCTAAAGCGCTTGCAAGGATGGCGGGTAACATGAATAAGGTCTATTGGTTTCGTTAATTCAAATTTTTCTTTGAGAACCTCTATTTCTTTCATATGGAAGTCATTCCGGGAGAGAGGGGGCAGACGAAAGTTTATTTTGTAACTTGGCTTGTTTTGTTTTAGTTTGTGTTGTTTTAATCTGTTTACCGTTTAACAACAACCTAGAAGATCTAAAGAATTCGTTTATACGGGTCCTTACCCAAAAAGCTCAAAAGAGGGAAAAACCAGGGGAGGGGAGGGGTGAACGGAGAAATCATTACCGGCTTAAGGAAAGAACTAGCACCGAATCAACCGATTTATGCTCGTTACCTCGAACCCTGGGCTCCGAAATACAAGCCTGTATCAAATCTACGCAGGGCTCGAAAATTGGTTGAGTTCTAGCTTGTACTTTGGACAATCAGCTGTCACATTTTAATTGCCAGGGGCCAATTATTTTTTGTCTTAGTTAATGATTATTTTAGAGATTGACTTGCCTAGCCCTTACTCATTGGGCAAGCATCCTTAACAGTCACTTGCGAAAACCTACTTGACTCCTTCTTGTCAAGGACAACCGGACAGGAGTTTTTGCGAGCCCTGTTGGGGTATTATTTTCTTCACTGCCCCATCCTTGTTTCCCTTCCTCCCGCAGCCTGCGTAGCAGGCCCAAGAAAGAACGGGTGCGCGAGAGACACACTTCTTCTCCCCTCGCGTGTCTCCCTCTACCGCGCTCGTTCTTTCTTGCGCCCACTATTTCCAAGCGCCTGCTACGCACGCTACTCCCCCCGGGAGGGGTTACCCTTTTATATAAGCCATATAGGTACCTTATTACATGAAATTTTCGCGACATGTTTATTTCGCCATTTTGATGAGCGCACATTTCGCGACACTTAAATTTGCGAAAATTGTATATTTTGAATCACTTTAATTTCGCGCTTTTGAATTCAACAATTTACATTTCATACGCAAAGTTATTTAACATGTCTTGGAATTTAAATAAAACGACCTTATCAAAGGAACAATAAAGTCAAATTCATGAAGAAAAACGCAACAGAGGGGACTTAATGTCAACAGTAACAACAAAGCACTTCTCACAATGTCCACAAGCAGTTCATGCTTGTACGCAATTATTGTTCTTGAGTCAATTGACCACAACATCCATTTACACTGAGCATTTCAAAGAAAAGTAAAAAGTGTGATTTGTAAACGTTTCAGTGATAATAAACTCGTTCTTTCTCTATATGTACAAAATGTGAGTCACTTAATTTTCGCGTCGCATGTTATGTTCGCGACACTCATTGTTCGCGTCACTTTCATGTCGCGATTTTTTTTGTATCGGGCTTTAATTGCACTTCGCTTTTAAAGTACATTATTCCATGCATGGGGGGTTTTCCCACACCAAAAACCCGGAAAAACCAGACTTTTGCCGCTATGTGAAACGGGTAAAAACAGACCTTAGCCCATAATAAAACGAGGGAACTACTGGAGTGCATGGACTTAGTTTTCGTTTCAATTCCAATGAAGAAGGAAATAGAAATACGCGAATTCGAAATGCGTTTGAAGAATTGTTTTGTTTGCGCTCTAATCTAAGAAATGATGACTTAATCAATGCCTATCTAAAAGCCAGGTCTGGAAATGGGTATGGATTTTAGAGGTCTGGTCTTTAAATGGGTGTGGAAAAGGACAATTTTTGCTCGGAACTTGATAGGGTTATGATTTGGAGAACCGGGCGGCACACCCCACCAAGATTTCCCAGGAGTAACCCCCGGGCCCCTCCTGTTGGTCTCCCTCAACCAATAGGCGTCCAGAGTAGCCTATAACTCTGAGTGAGCAAATTCCATGTACTCTTGTCACTGCTATTTCACCAACCAGTTTATGTTTAGAATAAATATGGTGCGAATTTAGATTATCTTTCAGGTCCCACAAACCAGTCAGCAGACGAGCAGACCTGAAAATGGTATATTTTTTAGCTTTCAAAGACGTTTAGTTTTCTTTCCTTTTTCATGTCTTATACTCAGTCAGATACGCGCGATCATAGACGGAGCAGAGCTTCCATTTTTCGCGGAAAAAGAGTTCTCAAATGTACCAGGTCCTAAAGATAAACCGGTCCGTAAAAAAAATGCCGTGCCAGAGGTCTGATATGGGAGTTGCTCACTTTCGGTCATGGGCTCCCAACGCCCAGTTATATCTTAAGCGTTATTGTAAAGCTAAAACTTCCGAAGCTTTTTTCAACTTTTAACATTGAACAAGCCAGGGAAAATTGGTCGACTTCGCTGGAAAGAGCGCCATTAAAGTTAATAAACTTGCCTATTTGTTAACCCTTTCACTGCCAGAGTGTTTGAGGGGGGTTGTAAGGTGACTCTAACTTTTGAGTCTAATGGACGAAATCCTATGATGTAACCATTCAGATGAAAGCTCTCTGCCTCTGCTTTCACGTGATGCCATTTGTTTCTCAAAATATTAGAAAATGAAATTTGAAACTTTGGTCGAAATTTGCCTTTGGTCACATTTGGCAGTGAAAGGGTTAAAAACTGACGAGGATACACTTCCTCAAAGACGCCAAATTTTACAGACCTTTTGTATTGCGGGGGAAACAATCTGGCCCACACCATACCAGCGTCTTTAAATTTTAGCAACTTTCCAGAGCTATACTCTTCGCTCGTTTTAGAAGTATCACTCTCAAATTTAAGCTTTACTTAATATTTCAAGATGTTCTTTCCAGTAGTGGTCCATGTCAAAAGCTGAAATAACCATGCAAGGGTCTATTGGTTTGTTTTGTCTACAGGTTGGTGAGGGATTGTGCTAAGGCAACTTTGAAAGCTGGCTACAAATATTTTGGCATTCAGTTCTGGGCCGAGTGTTGGTCCGGAGTGGGTAAGATAGCCTATGATGCTGTTGGCGAATCAGACAAATGCTTTGTTCATCCGTTTTCCCAAAAGTGTGATGATTCACCATGCTTGTACTGTGCAGGAGCAAACGGAGTGAACTACGTATATAAAATCAATTCGTGATTGCCCTCCTCATGCAGGTAAAATAACAAAAACCAACAACTATAAGATCAATTGAGAATTCCGGTTAACTGACTACCTACCCCTCCCCTAAGTCACTATTTTGCCTTAAGTGAGAAGTAAGTGTTGAAGTTGACTTAGGTCGGTGGAGGTAGGGGGTAGCTACATAGGTTGTCAGTTGCTCAGAAAATTCAATTGATCCGCACTATACATACATTTGTCATTTTCCAAAACAGAGTTTTAGCATGGGCCCATTACCCGGAGCGAACACCATTCATGTACTAAAACGATTTTAGCGCGGGCGAATTATCGGGAAATGGTCAACATAACGAAATTGGACTGGCAAAGATCAAAGTACACTGTTCACAGTCCCCTATTTTTCCGTAAGATCGCCGAGATCGAGCGCTTTGCGCTAAGGGTAGCCATCTTGGACGAGTCTCAAAACTACTTAGGTAGCGGGGGGTGGTATTTTTGACACTCGTTCAAGATGGCTGGCCGTAACGCAAAGCGCTCAATATCGGCGATGTAACGGAAAAATAGGTGACTGTGAACAGTCTAAGATGAAAGTTTTAGTTTTCAGATGGGAATTGCCATGGCAACTCCGCAAGTCTCCCGTAAAAGTAACGGTAATAGTAAAGAGCAAAGCAACAACGAAGGCGATGGCTACTTTTCGGAAACGCAACTTAAAAGTGAATTCGAGCTGCTTCAAACTTTATCCTGCTTATTAGTCAAATTCGTCAAATTTTGGCAAATTTTTCTGGAGTTGCCTTGGGACTGTGTCAAAGTTAGGGAAAAAGAAAAGGAAAGTCGTTGACTTGTGTTCATGTCCTCCAAAAATCCGTGAAATTGGACAATTTCATGATGTAGTCTTGCAGCGCGGGCAAAGAAATGTACAAAAAAAATAATGCACCTGCCTAGTTTGCTAATCTTAACCTTTTTTTCCCGTTCTCCTTACCGTCGTCGTCAACTTTGCTTAAGCTCCCTAGTATTTCAAGGTGCGTTTAGCCTTTCTTTCCCCGCTTTCGCGCTTTTCTCCCTCCCCCTCCCCTCTCCTTTTTGTGGCTGCCACACAGGCTAAGATGCGTCTTGCTACCAAACCGGGATAGACATTGAGCATATGAATCTCATTTGACCGCTTGGTCTCCAAATAAGTTTTAGCTGGAAGATTGACTACCCATTGTCATGAATTATAGGTAAAACGCACGCCATACTTCCAGAAAGGCAAATTTCAGGGATCTTCGATGCATATTTTAATCGCAGAAGACCACTAAATTTGTGAAATGGATAGCTTTCAATTTCATTATCATGTTTCCATTTTTTCACCTAATGGATAAATTACCATCGTTATTAAATCTTTTCGTCACTCAAAAGTGACGAAAATAAATCTCTTCAAAGGCTTTGCATCATTTTTCTCTCCTCTGAGTACGTTTCCTAAGAGGCAAGGTGAATTAATATTTTATGAACAACTATTCACGGCTAAAAACGTTGTATTTTTCACTTATTAAAATACTGTACTGATAAATTGGTTTTGCAGGGATCCCACATCAAAAGGGAAGCCACGAAGCAAAGGGAATTAAAACTGGTGTAAACCTGGTAAACATGGCGTAAGAAGAAATGCAAAGGGTTGCAGTCAATAAGGATAATAAAGGATATTTTTGTCTTGACGTTTGTCTTTGTAAAAGATTTTTAGCATTCGTTGCAAGGCACCAAGACATGATTAGCACGCAACCGACGCTTATGTGGGCAAACAGGTGTATTGTCAACTATCGTGTATAGGAAACTTTGTTAATAAATATATACACGGACATTGAGGGGGCATAAGTTTCTGTATTACCAGAATGTCCGTATTAAACAGGTTGAATTTAGAGAAAAAGTAAGGGCTTTCTTTCCCCAGGGACAAAGCAAACTGTCTGTAATAATGAGGTGTCCGTATTAAGTGAGTTGAATTTAGAGAAAATGTAAGGGCTTTCTTTCCCCAGGGACAAAGCAAACTGTCTGTAATAATGAGGTGTCCGTATTAAGCGGGTTGAATTTAGAGAAAAAGTAAGGGCCTTCTTTCCCCAGGGACAAAGGAAACTGTCTGTAATAATGAGGTGTCCGCATTAAGCTGGTTAAAATAGAGAAAAAGTAAGGGCTTTCTTTCCCCAGGGACAAAGCAAACTGTCTGGAATAATGAGGTGTCCGTATAAAGCGGGTTGAATTTAGAGAAAAAGTAAGGGCTTTCTTTCTCTAGGGAAAAAGCAAACTGTCTGTAATAATAAGGTGTCCGTATTAAGTTGGTTGACTTTAGAGAAAAAGTAAGGGCCTTCTTTCCCCAGGGACAAAGTAAACTGTCTGTAATAATGAGGTGTCCATAGTAAGCGGGTGTCCGTTAACCTGGGTTTGACGGTACAACAAAAGGATTATGATCAGAATGTTGTTTCTTCAACTGGTGAAACAGAAGAGTAGTAAAAATGAAATCCGTGGTCTCCCAAAGGGAGTTGAAAGCATCAACTTCTGGTAGCTTAATTGGTACAAAAAAGTGATAGGTTCCAACAGGGGTACTTGCCATTAGCATGGCAAAACCGGAAATTCTGGTTGGAAAATCAAATGGTTGTGCCATTGCATTTGGGAAGCTTCAAAAGATATATAGAGGATATTACATGGCCGTGCGGAGACATGAAATTTCTCTTCGAGTGAGCGCAGCGAACAAGTGAAATTTTTTTTCAACACGAGAAGAGAAATTTCGTATCTCCAAGCGGCCATGCAATATTCTATTTATTATATAGACATCCATGAACTATCAAACCATTTCACTTTAATAGTTTTTTGGGGTGAAAGGCACTATTTATTATGTAGCCATAGCAACGGTGATATTTTCACATGTGAATGATACCAAGTTTTCGCGCGAAAGCTCTTCTAGTATTTCATTGGTGTTTATATAATAATAAGCAGTTATTGAATGAGGTTGAGTAGGACATAAAGAATTCTGCAGATCGAGGAGGGTTTTATCCACCGAGGGAGAGGGGGAGGGGGGTGGTCTGCACACAGGCTATGGGTTCCACAGGCACCACTGGAATATAAATGACGAGAAACATCATATTCAGGATCTTACCTGAGACAACGACCAAGTTATCGGATCGCCTAGGATTTTCCCGCTAATACCAACTTAAGACGATAGCCCTCGTGCGAGTTCTTTAAACCAAAGTACCACTTGACATTGTGACATCTATCGTCTGTCTTGAAAACCATCACAGTCTTTTAAGCCAAGGAGAACGATACAAACAGGGATTTCGTTTTGTTTGGATTTAAACTGAGCCCGTAGGGAAAGAAATGCACTGTAAAAACTTGCAGAAAACCTCTCGGAAACCCGTGAACAGGTTGAACATTTCTCCGCCATGTTCGACCACCATCAACTTGTTTCCAGTCCTCTTTGACCGTTTTGTTTTCACTTCATGTATGCCCCAATGTCACGGCAAAAAACTGCGACAAAGCTGTGATACCACTTAACTTCATTGTTTTGCAAACGCTCACTAGCTCGGATACAGGACTTCGATGGATTTTAAGAGAAAAGAAGGACTGAAATCTACGATACCATGATCGATCTGGACTGCATAACAGTCGGGTGTTTCATGTTGAGGCACTGATGTCCCGCAAGCCAACGGAAGTGAAATCTGGCATTACTAGCTATCTAGGGTACATTAAGAGGGTAGTCAATAGGTTTTTCCGGATCCGGGATTTCCCTTATTCCGGGCTCGGGATTCGGGATTTAAAAGCAAAATCGGGGCGAGATTCGGGATTGGAAGTTGCACAAGAGGTGGGATGGCAAAAACAACCATCGGGATTACGGGATTGAAGAACCCTACAGGGAACTCTCCAAGTACTCATAATGGTTTTCATAGCCCTTCTGTGGGCGATAGACTTCCTCATATAAAAACTACCGAAACGGCGAATAACCAGTGAATAACTATTATATGAGGATCCGAATGGGGGTACCTCGATAACACTAAACACTTCAGTTTTTAGCTTTGTAACATGAAACAGTTAAAATTCAGGCATTTTAACACTAACAGTAAAAAATTCATTAAAACAGTAATTTTTTCCAGAAAACAAAAACAAAAATAGCTGCAAAAAGGCCAATATTATTTTGTTTAGTAAATCAAGGAGTTTTCGGCCATTTTACGACAATTCCGGAGTGTTTCAGAGAATTTCCCAAGGCTACCGACGATTTCCGAAGCCTGTCGAAGATTTCCGAAGACTAACGAAGAGGTCCCACCATCGCCGAAGATGTCCGAAGAAACCTCCAAACACTTGACAGTAATTTCTTGGGAAACAGTAAACATTAAAAAATTGGCCAATTTAATTAACAGCAAACACTAAAAATTATGGGCAAATACCACTAAACACTAAACGCCATTAAGACCCTCTTAAATATGTAGCTTGTGAACAGGCTCTCTGTTTGAGGAAAGGATGAAAAGGTCGCGAGGAGAGGGAGGGAAAAGGGTTAGATACACATTTGGGACCGTCGTTTCACGGCACCTACGGTGCATTAGATCCTGATGCAAGCTCCTATAGTGACAACACTGACTCACCCTTTCCCTTCCCTCTCCTCGCGATTTTTTCACCGTTTCCCCAAACAGAGAGCCTGTTCACAGGCTACTATATATGTCGGTGACATTTCTGTTTATACCTTTCACTACGTCTTTTGACTAGGCTCTCGCCGTGAATAAAGATCTTGAAAATAATAATAATAACTGTTTATTCACAAATCCACAGAAAAGTAAAAGGGAGATAAAGGAGCAGTATCCCTTTCTAGTTTATCTCCTGGTAATAAAATAAATTAAAACATTAATTATTTACAACTGTTTAAAATACTAAGTATAAAATATATAATACATCACACGTTGGAAGAACTTAGTGTTCAAAAATTTGCAAGATTACATCTGAGTCTGTTCCATTTTTTCGCCTCAGCACTGAATTTCGGATTCCGTTGGCATATTACTCCATTTATCGATTATGCGTATAAAAAAAAGAATGTTTAAAATTATTTATTATACCTTTAAACACCGGGAGAAATGGCTATTGTTCTCGGGATATTTACTTACAGTCAGTAAAAGTTTCAAGGTCTGTCATATCGCTCATTGTTATTCTCAAATGCTAAGGAAGAGGCAATTTCATTGGTTACCATGAACGCACGGCTTTGCACATCATCAGGAAGTAGGCGGGTTAAACTAACAATAGCCGAATCGCTCTTTTGTTTTCCCTTTTGTCTGGTCAAATCACAACTCTACGCTTCTAAAATGCTCCAAGCGTAACTGTTAGAAGTACGGACAAAGCGGTCCAAGCAATCCGGGTTAAACGAAAAAAATAACTGACTTTATGATAACTGGGAAAAGGTGTCTTTCAATTCCACTCAATTCAGCTCTGACCATACTATAGCTGATTTTAATTTTCGGCCGAGTCAAATAATTCAGTGATCCTCATTGGTGCTTTTCGATCATGCGGCAAGCCTGATCCAGTTTTTTCATTGAGTTCCCTCAAGATGTCGTACGGGGAATGGGAGATTTCGGTTAGGTACAGAATCGGCTTTTTCCCTCCCTCTCCGTTTCCCATTATTCTCTTTTGTTAATTTTGTCAACGAAAATCTTCGTTTTTGTGCTCAGTAACACAGAGACCCGATTAAAAGCAGACTCCTCGAGTAAATAGCCATTTAGACGTAGGTTTCTTTGAAGAACTGCATCTAGTTTCTTCAAGTTGCCTTCTACCGTCCTCCATTCCCATAAAACGTTCCCGTTGATTTGTAAACAATAGTTTGGATCTTTTCCGTCTGCAAACGGTGGGACTACATGCATAAGTAAAGGCTGGACCAGGGGTTCAGTGAGCTTTGAAAAGAGCTCCTGGTCCAAGTCGTTTACTCTTGCATCAGCCATTTTGAAAACGATTTGTTGAAGTAGTGATCACGAGGCGAAAGTGCGTTCTGTCTTTTAAATTAACGCGCGACTGGTTTTTTGGCATTGTTGAGTGTTCATTAACAGCTTCATAAGGTGCAATTAGCATATGACTGGTTCTCCTGAATGATGTGCTACTGCCTATTGTTTGTTCATAGCAACCATTGTTTCGACAAGGACAATGACTTCACTCCGACTGCGTGCTAAGTTTAAACCTTATATTTTCAAACTTAAAAGTCTGCAACTTAATCGAATCAAATTTTCGAGAAAATGCTATCCACGTGTAGGTAACGCATTTGTCTTAAATAATCCTCTCTATAATCTGAAGATTTGTGATTATTTTTCAAGAAATTCGATGTCCAATTTTGACAAAGGTCGTATTCCACACTGAAAATACTGTAAAAAGCCTGATTTTCAATGTTAAAAGTCTGCACCTAATTTTCATTTATTTTACTTAAAATTTAGCTGCAATGATAGATTAATCCCTTAACTTAAAGAATCCGCTCTATAATGTTAAAGAAGTCACCTTTTTAACAACCGGAACGACGATTTTAGTCACTCTGAATATTTTCCCGATTCTGATTGGCTAAAACCACACGTTTAATTCACCATAACCAGTTACTGATGACCAAATTTGGAAGAATTTTGTGTTTAACAAGGA